TAATCACATACTGCTGCAATGTTAACCTTTCTATTTGGCCCAAATCACCTCCAGTAACAACATTTACACATTCTGCATAATAATTTTATCATCTCAGCAACTAAATAACTCCTTAAAGGAATAGCACATTTAATGCCGGTACAGATTACTTATAGACACTGCATTGTACACCTTATAAACATATTTATAAGTCTACTCATTCAGTATTCATGTATTTATTGAATTGCTGGAAATTGAGAGCAAAGTTAATGCCCTTACTGACAAAATTTGTTGCAAAAATATGCTAAGGATTTTCTCACTGAATTTGCTCAGAAAAAGCACATTGCCCAAACAATGCAGATGGTTGACAGGGTGAAATTTTTCGCCCCTTAAAAATATCAAACTATCCACAAAGAAAAAGCAAAGGAAAAGAAGAAAGCAGGTAAAGTTAAAAATTCAAAATTTTTATATTCCAGAAACTGTTTTTGTTTTTTGAAGCCCAGTTTCTTCATTTTGTTCAACAGGAAATAGATCAGAACAGGAAGATTTCTTAATGACTTCAACTTAGACTGTAACATCAAGTTGCTACTCAGGCTATTACACAAACTCCCACTGACTGACTACTTTATACATTGTCCTTTTATTTATACCCCATATACTTGCAAATATTTAACAAAAAATGTTTGGCTCAATTCTAAAGTGTGTTACTCGAAGAGTGGGAAATTTCAAATAACCTTAGAAATAAACATGCTTAAAAGTTGAAACTTTGCAGATAAATAATTTCATATTGTTTTTAAATGATGTGAAATTTTTATTTTTCTCTAGAAATTGCAATTAAATTTTATTTTAAGTTGCTATCCACTCAGTTGACATATCTTCCTAATAAAATTCATTAAAAAGATGTCCTTATTTTATTTAAAACCGATTCTTAAACAGTATATGTTCTAACAGTATGTCTGCAATAATTTGATTTTCTTTCATTTTACCAAATCTTAATTTATCTGTATTTTTAATGTTTTTCTTCACAATGTTACATTATATAATGTTATTTGAAGTTAATTAGGTGTAAAACTTTGAAAATGATAATAATTTTTTAATTTTTAAAGAAACTTTTATAATTTACACTATTTACATTATTCAAACTATTGTCCTCATCTTTGTTTCAAAATTTATCACAACATTTTGGCTGTTGTATGCTGCAGCTTTTTTTGGGTCCTGTCACTAGATCTAACCAATGCCTTTATCCACTGTGGTATGTGTCCTTAAGGACACAGGGCACAGTGACAGGACCCAAAGAGTTGTGAGTTCCATACTTGGTTATGGCAGTGGAGAAATTGAATTAACAGGAGATAACTGATAACTGACAATCATTAAACATGGCATGTGGAACTAGAATAGTCTACCCTAGCAAGCAAAATAAAGGATTCAGTTTGACATTCCAACCACCTGAAAAAGGCCAGAGTGTACAACAGCCAAAACGTGATAAATATGGCAACAAAGATGAGGACAATAGTCCAAATAATGTAAATAGTGTACATAATATGTCATTGCAGAAACATAGATACTTTTATATTTTTTTTTTCTAATATTTCATTTTTTTCTTGTTTTCTTTTCATTTTATATGATTTTCTTCATAATATCTGCCAGTACATTTCTCAGTAAAGAGAATATTTTTAATACAATACCTTTTTGTAGTGTTCTACTTAGCCAATCTGTGTGGCAGAATGCCCTCACACACCAAAAAATACTTCTATTAATGTTTTCTTTAAATTTGCCGACTTATCATTGGAATTTCATAATTCATAAGATCTGTGTTGGTTAGTGAGATATGTGCAGCTAGTATAACTGTAAAATTGGCCAAGTTCAGATTACAGACTAATCTGATGCATTCACTTTTGCACTAATACTATCGGGAAAAGCATAACTACCACTTCTTTCCCCCATCTATGAGTTAAATAGCTAATTAGAGTGGGATCTCTAGCTTTGGGTGACAACTAGTCTAAAAGAAAAACTCTGAGTTCAAAACCATTGAGAAAGCAACGGGAAACCACTGCACTATCTTTTCTAAGAATGTATAGCAAATGACAGGTAATGAAGAAAAGGAATCTGTGGAGAGCCGTCTACATCCTGAAGAAACATGGAATTCTTTTTGTTAAAAAAGTGAGAGATTTTACAATACTTTTAAAAATTTTTTTTATTAATAAGCATAATCATGCCAAGGGCTTAGTAGCTTGCCAAAATCAGTGTTCAGGTAAAGTCAACACTTTAAATGCAAAATTTTAAAAAGGCAGATACTCCTCATTTGGAAGATAAAAATCAATATAATTTTTAATAACTTCCTTTCCCTTAATTAGGCCTTGTACCATACTAAGCTAAGCATGATAAAAAAAAAAAAATCTGTAGCAATTTCTCTATTCATTGTCAGTGATGTCAAATGAAGATAAGTGACATCTATCATCCACAAATGCAAATGAGTTAATGGCAGACACAGAAGGAATAATGAAAGTGCAAGAACAGAAAGGTAGGCAAGAAGAAAAGACTTAACTATAAGAAGACAAAATGTGTGGTTATCAGAAAACATAACACATCCATAGATATGCAGCCCCTGAAGATAGTCTCAGATGAGACTGAAAGTACTTGAGAAAATAAAAATTATTTGAAAGAAAATTTTGGTATTTTTCTTAATCAATTTTCTACAGCTATCAAGAAATTAATTCGTGGGCTTGAAAGGGTTAAACTGAAATAAATAGACATAATACATCTGAATTATTTAACCAAACACGCTTGAATGAAAATATGCTGTATATATTTTAAGACATTTTTATGTTTAACTTTCTTTTTATAGATAAAAATATTTAAGTAAACGCTCTGTTTATAATAAACAGTATCAAACAACATTTACTGGCCTGAATGTCCGAGAAATTTTCACAGAAAATATTCATCCTCCGACAGGATTTGAACCTGTATCCTATATGGAACTGTCAGGCTGGTAAATGTTGTTTAATACTGTTTATTATAAACAAAGCATTTACTTAAATATTTGTATATATAAAAAGAATGTTAAAAATAAAAATGTCTTAAAATACTTGTCGGACTTTGTCCATTTCATAATATATATATATATATATATATATATATATATATATATATATATATATATATACATACACAAAATAAAAGACTGGGAACTAAGTTTGAGGTTCAGTATTTTTTTTTCATAGTTAATTTTCCCATTATGGTAAAGAGACAATAATTACTTAGACCAACAAAAGCTAGGAAGTTGTGGAGATCCATGATCACCAACGCTCTGAAGAGACAGGATACATAAAAGATGTAAGGGACGTAATCGAGATCAGATATTTCGTTTTACCTCTCGACTTCAAATTGTCTCCCTTGCATCATTTTGCTTTGTTTCACTGAGATTCAAGAACCGATTGAATTCCTTAAAATATTCAAAATAATGTTACGTGATTGACTTTTGAGAGAATAACATCCGAACAAAAACCAACTGTTCTAGTTTCAACTCATAAACAGTGACTATGATTACGTTAGAGTGAAAGCAAAAGCACTAATATTTTAGGTGGACTTATCATTTAACAGTTATCGACATGGAAAGCTGTGAGCAGAGTTTAAATTTGAACAAATGCCCTTTTGAAAAAATATGAATCCATTTATTACTCCTGGCTATGGGTTAAATAGCAGAATAGACTTCACTCTAGACTTAAGTGATAGCAAATCTAAGTGGAAAATTATTGTTAATTCAAAATCGTGAATAATATGATCAGAAAATAGTATTATATTTCCTAATGGATTGGAGAAGAATGTAGAATTAACAATCCAAGTTCAAACTCCAGCCTTATCTGTTGTGTTGACAATAAAAGATTGTAGAGGACTATGTAGTAGTATGTTAGTAAGGATGGACCATTTGTAGATGTCTATTTATAGTTGCGGGAATAACATGACCACACAATTTATATTTAACATAAAATACCACAAAACATGATATACAAGAAGAAACAAAACGCTTTTAAAACAATAACATTTGGATTTATTTTTGTGTATTGATGTACATGCGTAGAAGTTAAAGTTTTGTTTGTGTTATGTCCCTTAGACTGTGAATATTTTTTTTTATCTCAGCTCACAAAGGTTGAATTAGTGATAAAGCTGAGAAATGCTGAATAAACTGTAGCTTTAGAAGAATATTTCAAAGAGAAAAGTTCTTGTTGCATGTTTGTAAATGTTCTGTATGTTTGTAATGTAGGTTGGAAAAGTTCGTACTTTTGTGCATGTGTGAATATGCTTTTCACGTCTGACTGCACGTGGTCGAGACGAGAATCCTTAAGGTCACATCTTTGCAGGAAAAGGGAGAAGAGTAGAAAAGAAAAAGCAGCAAGCTTGTATCTGCTATTTATAATTAATGTAATCATGTGACAGGCTCACAGAAAATGACAGGAAAACTTGACTTGGTCACGCGCTGAAAAAATATTTGTAGGTGAGTGGATTGCAACGTCCACTTGTGTGTTTATTGACCAATTAGAAGCTTATATTTACTGAAAATATTTACTAAGCTAAGTAGGCTCTCTGTTCCACTTTTTGCACAAAAATGTACAAAATTCAACATCGATAAGAAAGTGGTAGTGGGATGTTACAAGATGAGGGGAAAGCTGTGACACCATCTGTTCTTTCTCCACCCCCAGTAGTGATGGATAATATAGCAGGGTAGTTTGGACTCTAGGGTATAAGCTAGGCTATTGATCGATTCATTTTCTACAGCTTATCAATTCTTTGCAGGCTATTTTAAGCCAGAAAATAGTTTTAGCAAGAACTTTTTTTTGGAGACAATGATAAAGTGATAAAAATCTTACTAATTAACTGATAGCTGTATAGAGAAATAGTGATTTCATACCATTCCCAAAGTTATTTGTGTCTAAGTGAATATAATAAACCTAACTAGAATTGGAACTCTGCTCTTTGATTAACAATTCTGAGCCATTATCCATTACAACACTCACACATCCAAGCTTACAGCACCTGGTATTCCCAAGTAGTCACCTATCTAGGTACTGGCCAGGCTCAACATTGCTTAACTTCAGTAATTGTATGGCAACCACTATTTCAATGTGATATGGACATAAGCCTCAGCTAGTCTGAGAAGGTAGCAAGAAACTACTCTAGTGTCTTTCCTCAGAAATCATAGCAATTCACAGATAATAAATAATCTGTGGAGAAACATGATTATATAAATCCTGAAGAGACATAGTATTAAAATAAATAAAAATGAAGTATCTAGTTTTTGGCTTTACAGAAAAAAAAAAAAAAAAATCTTTTATTAAACATTAAACCTCTTCAAGTCAAGGGTCTATCATTATCTTTCCACCTATTTTTCATAACCTTCCCTTTGTACCATAACCCCTTCTATTAGTCATTCATCATTATCATTTTATTTGTGATCCTCTACTTTGAGTCACTCTCGAGCCTTGTATTGAGCGAAATTTAGTTTAAAAAAAAAAAAAAATATTTTACAATGTCGAAGATTTTTAGAAAATACACAAGTAGGTGAAATTATTCTGGGCAGCAATTTTTCATCAAAACACAAACACGCACAGAGCAACCGAGCATGGACCAGGCTTTTATAAAGGGAACAAAAAAAAAAAAAAAAAAAAAAAGGAGAATATATTGAATATATTTTTTACTTTCAAAATGAATACAATAAGTACTGAATACACACATGTATAAGCCTAGCTTACTACATGTATAGTATGACACCTGAATATTTTTGTGTAAAACCTGATTATTTATTTTTATGCATAGCTCATAATTCGATCCCAGCTTCTGAGGAACAATTGTTGTGCTTAGGAAAATAATCTTTTCAGAGTCTTTTTTTACAAATTAGCACTTCTAGGGAAAAAGCTATCCAAGTGGAGCTTTGTCCTTCCCTTTTTGTGTGACAACTTTGAAGATTCTTGAAGTCTACCCTACTTACACTGACATGATCATATTCCTTACATGGTAGATCAAATTTTATAACAACATTCCCAGGTAAATTAACCATCAGACACTTATAAGTATCTCTTTAGTTTTTCATATTGGAAGTTTTACCACTGTGTGCTAGTTTTTTTCCTTCAGCAAATTTGCCATATAGAAATTACTTAAGGATCTTATTCTTCACCTGGTCACTCCATCACAATTGGGAGAGAAGTGCACATGCATAGTCAGGAGTTGTGAAAATTATACAAGCCAATTTTGATGAATTTGTTTCTCACAAGAAAGTCATCTCTCCCAATTAGATCATTCCAGCTGATGTCTATTTACTAGACAATATATTTTCTAAATACAAATTGTAGTCCCAGAAATAGTGTATTAAATGTTACATAAATTATCCATTTTTATGAATGGATGCATTGTTGTTGTTGTTGTTGTTGTTGGCAGAACTCATTGCTTAGTGTTAAGGAGTTCATTGACATTCCCTTCTGTGTGAAATGATTACTATGTTAAATTTGAACAGATATTGTCAACCACCTAATGGTAGGGTAGGAGTGTTCAAGGGATGGAGAGTTTTGGCTTTTCTTTGGGATCTTTTCATCTCTTCTATTTGTCTTCTGGTGTTCTCAAAGGATGCTTTCTCCAGTTGATTTTTTCTGCAGCTTTCATCACCCAATTGACTGGATTGATTTGTCCTCAGCAAGGTGTTTTTGAGCTGATCCTTGAATAAATGGATTATTGCTTATGTAAAATATTGATCAAGTCCTATCCACTAACTGTAGAATAGTTTTTAACATGTTAGGTATTGCTATTGTGGTTCCCAATAGCAAGTTGATTTCCATGGAATACTGTTGTTTGCCCCCCATGTCCACCCAGTTTCAGATTCAGGGTTTTTCTTTTCCTAGACTGGTTGTCAATCAAGACTCAGGAGCTCAGTCTGTCCTAGTATTTAACACATAAGCATCTTTTGAGTAAAATTTAAAAAAAATTAAAAAAAAAAAAAAAAAAAAAAAAAAAAGATTGTTGAAATCAAAGAAATTTTAATTTAAAAATTTAAATTTAGAATTTAAATTAGAAAACTAAAAAAAAAAGTCAAAAAAATAAAATATTTCATTTTTCTTAAATAACATTTAATTATAACATTAAAATAAAATATTCCAAATTCATTACTGTTTTGCTTACTAAAAAAAAAAAAAAAAAAAAGTTTTTAATTTATATTGAAAATTTAACCATAAAATAATTTATTTTGTTAGCTTTAGCAGTAAAAATTAAAATAAATAATTTTATTTAACAATGGCAAAGTTCGTGAAAACAATTTTTACTGAAATTTTACCTGCAACAACATATGAAAGCAGAATATGTATCTCATTCTTTTATTAAATTCTCAACTCATAATAAAAACTATGAATAATAAGCTGGCCCCTGACAATAATCATAGGCAGTGCAATATTTGAAAGTGTCTGCCTCTTTTACTCCTTTAACTTTTGGAGCTGCAATGAGTTTCCTTTCATGCTATAGGATATAAGATCATATATTTTACAGCCAATAAGTGAAGCACAAATATGTAAGAGATGCCTACAAATAAATCTTACTAAATTCAGTAGATACAAAAAAACATTTTTATATGGCTCTAAATTAAATAAGTGGTTTTTGAAACTTGATTGGATAGAACAAGCCAGGTGATGTGCTCTCTACTACATTTACATGGCTGAACTCCAAATGACCTAGAAATAGGTCAGGGATCAGGTTACTGAATACATTCTTGTACAAAACTTAGGGAATTGGAGCTGGCCTTTAGCAATATAAATGGCCCATCAGCAACAGTTAGTGACCAAATATGCAACCACTCAGTGAGTGTGAAGGACAGTTGGCGAAAGACAGTGAACCAGATGAGGCTACGATCAACAGTTTAGACACACATTACCATGACAATGCATCAGTCAGCAATTATTTTCTCCATACAAAGCAATGACAAAACTAAGTCCTACATCCCCTTAATTTGTTCAAAGTTTAAAAATTACTGATATTGCACACAATCAATCAGCAGTCACACACGTTTCATTAGCATGTGCTATATATATAAGTGTACCATACCACTTGATTTTCTCACTTGCAAAAAAAAGTTGAAACTCTGTAAGTTGCAACAAATCATTTTGAACAATCAAACTATTTGGTCACTTTATAGCCGCAACAAGGAACATTTATTTTTAATATATAAATACATATATTTGACTGTATAAATGTTAAGGTCATTTTTAGTTTAGTCTTTTTTTTCATTGCATAAAAATTGTGTTGTATTTGTGAATAACACACTAGAGTTTTATTTTTCCTCCTAAAATCTGGGTAGACTGACCCAGAGCTTCGATAATGACAAAGTAAGTAAGTGTAGAGGACCCGGTAGCATGCAGTGCTGGTCTATGAAAAGGTGGCCTTGCGCCAGACACTACTTACAACTACCGAATCCACTAACAAAGTAAAAATAATAAATGTGAGATCTTTAGTGAGGAAAAAGGGTCATTTAACACGCGCATAAAAATAGTAAAATATAGATAGCCAGGAGGAAACAACGAAAATGAGTCTGGTGGAAAATAAATATAAAACTTTATTTGAATAACAAATAATCTTGTTTCAACAGTGGAGACTATCAGAAAAGGTAAGGTCTGTTCTTAGGCAGTTAGTATTATGTAGAGACTAATAGAATGTTAAAGTTCCGCGCCAAAACTAAAAACCAAAATGGCTAAGGCGAGAAAAGTTTCTTCAGAGGGAAGGTTCTGGAATATCGTCTTCTTGTACAAAAGGTGTATGTGTACACAATAAGGAAAAATACTCACTGTGAGTTTTAATAATGTGTGTGTAATGTTATCTTTTTTTTTTAAACTGGTTCGTAAAGGTTAGAATTCAAAAGAGGTGTATGAAAATTTCATCAATCTTCAGTGAAGAAAAACTCTACGTTCTCTGGTAGTGAATGGAGGAAAGATCGAACAAGTTGTTCGCATCAAGACAAGGAGTTAGTCTTGGAAAAGTGTGATGACGACCGTGTCGTAGACTCTGGTAGTGAACAGAGGAAAGTTCAAACAAGTTGTTCGCATCAAGATGAGGAATTAGTCTTGGAAAAGTATGACGACGACAGTGTCGTAGACTCTGGTAGAAAATGAAGGAAGGTTCAAACATGTTGTTTGAAGAAAAGTTGTAATCACACGACATGTTGAAGTTTTGGTTAGTTAAGATATTGTGGCCCGCGTATGGGTTAGGGGCACGGAATAAAAGGAGTTGACCTTCTAGCTTGATAATCAGATTACGACTAACTTGAAAAGCGAAGTTTGTCAGTGACGTCAGAGAAATGCACGGGAAAACTTCAAATTCCATTCTAGATGGTATCAGGAGCAGCCAGCAACCTTGTCGGCAACAAACAGGCCGGTTTACTGCTATGTCTAGCCGAAAGTGAAAGGAAGGGGTGCAATATGCGCACGCAAAAATGGGTGGAATCTATGCACGATTCCACATAAGTACTTAGAGAAACAGGCTGAATATCCTTCAGTTACATGTTTTGTTAATACATTAATTCCATGTTTTGTGTTTTTTTTTTTTTTTTTACCGAGACTCACATGAGTTTGCTAAATATTGTTTGTGGAATAAATATACCAGGATGTATAAAAGGATAATACTTTTCATTTCCTTCACAGATATATGAATCTTAATCTAATATCTCAAAGAATGATGGGGATTTCTTTTTAAGGAACAGATGGCTTTAGAGAATAAGATTTTGCACAAGTTCAGATCCATCCTCATGGCCTCTCCATGATCCAGTAGCAAAAGGCCTTGAATGGCCAAAGTAAACTTTGGTGCAAAAAAAAAAAAAAAAAAGACATTCTTGCACTAAAATGGTTGCATGTTGTCTCATACCCTCTTGGTTTCAGTTTAAATGTACACATTCTTTTTTCCATATATTGTAGCTATAATTATAAACTATAATTTTGAAAGTGAAAATTTCCAAACTTTCATTTAAAATAAAGAAAATATAAACTTTAAGCATAATAGTTGCAAAATATGGGAAAAAAAAGCTCAGCTGAAATGGATGCCAGGGAAATATAAGTCATTATATAAAAAAAGAATAAAAAACATTTCAAAATTCAATAAAATCACTTAAAAAAT